GCAGGGGCTGGGCCTGCAGCCCCACAGCAGGTCAGGTCAGCAGGCAGGTTGTGGGTCATGGTCCTCATCCAGCCTGCAGCAGTGCATCCCCTCAAGTCACACAGAACTTCTTGCTGCCTTCTCCTCCAGGCCTGTGTCTCCCCAGACCAGCAGCCATGGTGTGTCTACTTGCCCCAGCAGGGGTTCTAGACCCTGGGAGGGGACTGGGTGGAGGCAGAGCTGGCAGCAGGCCAGGATCTGCATGGGGTTCTGCTGGGGCTGCCCCCAGTGCCATCAGGACCCAGGGCTGTGCCCTCAGGCTGTAGCCAGACTGGCCCTGGGGTCCAGGCCGCAGAGCCAGTCCATCTTGTGGAAAAAGGCATATAATGATATCTTTCAATGAGATAAGATGCAAAATATGACAACTTCCCTTTAACTAAAGAAGTGAGCTTCTGGTAAGAGGAAGAAGAGCAGGAGGGGGAGGAAGGCCATCTGTATAAGACCATGAACAGCACTAAACCAGGGTCCTCCAGGAGGAAGAGGCAGAGCTGGCCCTAAGCTGCCCCCAGCTGTCCACACACAGAGAAGGAGGCTCCGAGGGACACCCAGGTCTAGGGCACACACACCCAGAGGCCTGTGACCCTCTCAGGTGTGAATGCTTAAGCCTCTGTCCCTCCTCTGTCTTCTTTGAAGCCTTCCCAGTCTCCGGGGTGGGGCGCCCCCTGCTGGTAACACTGGGCATTGCTGTTACATGGACCATGCCTGGCTGAACTGTGCGGTGACACCAAGAACTCACCTTGGGACCAAGGCAGTCAGGCTTCCATGAATGAAAGGAAGAGGTCACTTTAACTTAGCAGGAAGCTCAGGTTTGGACATGGACTCACCCTACACCAAAAGCACCCAAAATGGGAAGTGGACAGATTGTAGGATGTGGTCAGGTAACAGCCAGGCTGAGGGCTGAGAGCTCAGGACAGAGAGCAGAGAACCACAAGATCAAGATACTGGGCCTACTAATTAGGAGAAGGAGGGTGAGGAAGACCAGGAAGGTCTCTGCAAATCACTGTGCTCAGGGCTGATGAGAACATGGAAAGCATTCAGGGCCTCAGTATGCCCATCTGTATACTGGTGATAAAAGCTGAATTTACATCATGCAGTTGGTATGAGAAAAGCATGATTCCCGTAAAGGGATCAGCTAGTGTCTGGCACAGAGTAACTGTGAGGTAAATGTTGATGGTGTTGTTATTATTATTACAAGAATCACTCAATCTGAATTAACTTGCTGCTTAATGAACTGTTGACATGCTGTTCTCTCCCATGGGGAGGGCACCTTGCTCCCTTTGAGGGTAAGACCCATCTTTCTACCTCCATGGCTCCATTGTGGGGACACTGGCTGTCATCACAAAAGCCTGGTGAAGGGGGGAGTTTGACAGGCAGAAAAATGCCCCCCAAAAGATGTCCATGTCCTAAACTATAGAACCTGGAATATATCACCTTACCTGGTGACAGGGACTTTGCAGATGTGATTAAATTTACACATTTTGAGATGGGGAGGTGATTCTGGATTATCTGGGTTGGCCCCATGTAATGACAAGGGTTCTTATAAGTGAGAGAAGTCAGGAAAGAGAGGGAGTGATTTGATGTGAGAAGGACTCAACTGGCTATGTTGCCTTTGAAAATGGAAGAAGGGGCCATGAGTCAAGGATGGCACACTGCCTCTAGAAGCTGAAAAAGGCAAGAAAATTAATTTCTCCCCTAGAGCCTCCAGAAGGCCCAGAAGGAAAGCAGCCCTGAGGATACCTTGTGAGACTTCTGACCCCCAGAACTGTAAGATAGTACATTTGTATTCAGGTTCTTTTGTTGTTTTCCTTTTTTTTTATTGAACTATAGTCAGATTACAATGTTGTGTCAGTTTCTGGTGTATAGCATAATGTTTCAGTCCATTTGTGTTGTTTGAAGCCACTCTGTCATAAATTTGTTACATCATTAATAGGAAGCTGCTAGATGGAGAAACACACGTCCTCCCTGCTCCCTTCCTTCCTCCTTCTCAGGCCCCCACTTCTGTCAGAAATGCCCAATCCTGTGGCCTCTGCAAGATGGTGCCCCAGGATACGTTGGTGGCCTGGTGCCCTTAGTCAACCTCAGAGACAGAGAGAGACTGAGGAGGGTGCAGTTCCCTTGCGGAGGGTATGTTGGGACCCAGTGCTTCTCAAGGGGGCAGGCGTGGAAGAGGCCCAGGGTACAAGGAGGCCCCCACCCTGCACATTCTCCACCACTATAATCATACATGCACTTGAGAGTGGGGATGATGTGTTGGGGATGACATTGATGGTAAGAGGGGGCTGATAACTGCTGATGTTTACTTGCTCAGCCAGGCACTGCCCCAGGTGAATATGTTATCTCATTTAACCTCCACCATGACCCTGTGAGGAGGGAAAGTTATTATCCCTGATGACAGAGGAGCAAAGGGAGGTACCGAGAGCTTGAGTAACTTGCCTATCATGTGACATGGCAGAAATTTAGTCCTGGACTGTGTCATTCCAGAGACCTTCCTCTTGCTCACCTGACCACATTGCCTGGATTCCTAGATTAATCAAATGTGGTCGTGAGTGAGGGACATAACATGTTTTCTCCAAAGCCCAGTGGGCATTGGTCCCCTTTTATGAATGAGGAACTAAGGCTAGGAGAGGACAGATGACTTTAATCTGCTAGTGAGGCAAATTAGGTTGATTGAGTTCAAATGTTAAACCACATCACAGCTTTTGAATAAATCCAATATGATCATACTTTTATAATATACTGGACTTCGGCAGTGCTATAGATTGAAGTTTTGTGTCCCCTCAAAATTCATATGTTGAAACTGAATCCCCAGTGTGACGGTATTAGGAGGTAGGGCCTTTCGGATTAGGTCATGAGAGTGGCGCTCTCACGAATGAGATTAGTGCCCTTATAAAAGAGACCCCAGACAGCAATCTTGCCCCTTCACTATGTGAGGACACCATGGGGAGACAACCGCCTATGAACCAGTAAGTTGGCCCTTACCAGACGCCAAATCTGCCAGCACCTTGATCTTGGACTTTCCAGCCCCCATAACTAAGAAATAAATGCTTGCTGTTTATTAGCCACTCAGTCTACACTATTTTGTTATAGTAGCCTGAACTATAGACAGGCAGTTAGCATTTAGCTTAAAATATTTACACCTATTTTCTTGAGATTGTTTTCTGATAATTCTTTTTTCACTCATCAGGTTTTAGTCAAGGTTATATCAGCCCCATAAGATGAATTAGGAATGCTCTTTTTCTACACTCTGCAACTGCTTTTGTAAAATTGGATTTATTTGTTCCTGGAGTGTTACACCAGTGAGGCCATCTGGTTCCATAGTTTCTGTCTGGGAACCGTTGGCTTGCAAGTTCTGTTGCTTTAATGGTTATAGGACTACTCAAGTTTTTCTCTTCTTTGGAGACAGTTTTAACAAGTTATATGCCTGTAGTGATTTGCCCATTTTATCTAATTTTCAACCCAATTGGCATAAAGTTGCTTTTTTGGGGGGGGGTTGACACTTAGCAAATGATCACATCAGTGAAGGGCCACAGACACACGCCTGGACTTTGACATTTGACAAAGTCAGAGTATCCTCATTGAAAGGTGAAATATGGGTGTGTTGAATTTGTTTTCACTAGCTGTTCTCCACTTCCAGACCTCTGCAACGCTATTCCTTTTGATCAGACTGCTTGCCCTCTCTTCCACTTCATTGCCTGGTGGATTCCTACTTGTTTTTTAAAAGGCAGTTCAGGCACCATATCCTCCAAGAAGGCTTCCAGAGTCCCCGCACTGGACTGAGCATCTGTCCTGGGCTCCTTCCCCCACCCCCAGCTCACTGGAACCATCACTACTAATGCACTAACCACACTGCACTGAAACTCTTTCTCTATCTCCCCTGCTGAACCATGAGCTCCTTCCTCTGTGTCCTCAGAGCAGAGCAGATGTCAATGCTTGTGGAACTGACCCAAGCTGTAACTACTGAACGACCGATTAAGTCCTCTAGCCATGTCTCTATATTTCCCCACATCCGTTTGTCTACTTATTTCATTCAATAGGTATCTACTGAGCACCTACTATGTGCCAGGTACTGTTCCAGAAGAGTGGCAAGTGAGGCAGTGAGAAAAGAGGAAAACTAGGAGGGTGTGGTATTCTGGAAACCAAGAAAGGATTTCAAGGTTGAGGAGATGGTCAACTGTGTCAAATGCGACAAATAGGTCAAGTAAGATGAGGTCTGAGAGTTGATCGCTGACAGAACAATGTAAATATCATCAGTGACTCTGGCACTTAAGCTCAAGTGGTTGGGCAAAAAATCTGATCAGGACTGTTTCAGAAAAGTACTGGATCCCTGGAGAAGAACTGAAAAAAACTAGTAGAAAGTTTTGCTGTAAAGGGAAGTAAACAAATATGGGGTGTTTTATTTTGCTATGCTGAGTTTTTTTATTTGCATGCAGTATATCTATCTATCCTTTCTTTCAGAGCTTCTGGGTTTCTTGTTTTGAGTTAGAATGCAATGTCTGTGGACAGCAACTCTGATATGAATTTTTCACAGCACATTAAGTCTTCTGTCCTGAGGCCTTCCCAGTTTTGAGGGCAGAGGGCTCTCCCTGCTGGTGTCCAAGGCTGGTTCCCCCGACCCCAGTAGCCTCAAAGGCATGTGGCTGATTCACAACCAATATCCCCTCATCCACAGCTGACCACATCCACCACTGCAACCCAGTGTGTGACACCAAACATTCATGTGGCCACCATTCTTCCTCCCTCCCTGACAGAATGTGGTAAAGACCAAAGGACCTGCCCCACATAGACCACATAGATTAGTGCCACAAGATGAGGTGACCCAGATCTTCAGGGCCATACTGAAGCAGCAGCAGCAGCAGCGGGGATGACCACATTCCATCCCACCCGCTACTCCCCACCGTGATCCTCCCACAGAACGTAACCACCCTGCACCTTCAGGCCCAAACACTGCACAGCAAGACACATCGTTTCTCATAGAGCTCTATTGTGGCATATAATAATAGGTACTCTATATAAATTAAATTAAAAATAAAGCTCCAGCAGGTTGCACAGGTTGGCTGTTAATAAATATATCTCTGGGTAATTGTGCCCCAAGACCAGCTCATGACCACTCTCCCTCATCCAGAGAATTATACAAAAATAAATACAGGCTTGGGGTGGGGCGGGGGAAGGGAAGACATGCCCGGTTCCATTCTGCAAGTTTTCACTCACACCATCTACCCGTGCCGTTTCTCTCCACTGGTATCATCACAGGGAGTGCCATGCTGACTGGAGAACTCAGGGACAGGAAGGCCTCTCTCCCATTGAGCTTTCTCAGAAGCAAAGAACCCCTCATTGTGCAGGCCACACATCCCATCGGAACTCTCTGGGAGGGGGCAGTGCAGGGGCTGCCCCTCCCCAGACCCCAGAGAGGGGGAAGCCTGTTATTGCTGATCTCACGAGCGGCTCTTATGAAAACCAGGCCAGAGAGAGGCACAGTGCAAGCACCAGGAGGGACATACCACTGTTCAGAGCCACAGGGACCACCACCAGCCCAGCCAGGACCCCCAGAGTCTGGGTCAAGGGTCCCCGGAGCTGGGGAGGCAATATACACACACACTCTGCAGGGGCTGCTCGGGTAGGAGACCTCTTTGGGGGCTCAAGGCTTGGGCCTGAACCCTCTTCATCCTGGGAGCTCACATGGGGCCTGGCCAGGCTGGAAGGATAGACTTCAGCCCCCAAGGGACCAAGGAGGGGGAGATTTTGCCCCCACAGGACTGGAGCAGTTAGCTCCTTGCTGGATATAGGAACCAAGCTGTCTGCTGTCCCAGTGGTAAACTCCATCCGGGCTTCTGTCCCCTCCGGGGACCCAGTCACCCCAGCTATCATCCTATTCATATGCAGAGAGTCAGTGTCCCTGCCCATCCCCTTCTCTGGAGCCCCAGGGAATTGACCCTCTATACCCAGAACCGCAGGGCTGTCACATCCCGAGCCCCCTGCCCATGGGAGCCACACATCTCCTACAGTGGCTACCACAGAACGGACCCCAGAAAGGATTTCTGGAGGCGATTCCTTGGGGGTGTCCCCTTCTGGGCTGGAGGGTATAATGGAGAGCCCCTCTTCCCCCTCCCCGTCCTCATCTGGGTCCTCAGTGTCCTTGATAAGCTCCACACCACGCCCCAGCCGGGCATAGTGCAGTGTGATCTCCTCAGCCAGGGCACTGTTCAGGGCCCGCTCAGGGCCAGGCCACTTTAAGATCAGGTCGCGGTCCGTGAGTATGCCCAGAGGGTGGCTGGGGGACACTCCCCCATCTGTGGGGCCCTCCCCCCCACCTCCTGCCCCACCAGCAGCCACAGCAGCTCGCAGGCGGCTCAGGTGGGACAGGTAGAGCTGCTCCAGCTCCTGGTCAATGGTGTCCTCGCCAAGCAGCTCCTCCAACCCACTCATGGCCTCCAGACCCCTGGAGGGCTCATCCTTAACAGCCCCCACCACGGAGTCCTTTCGGCCCCTTCCATTCTCGCTGGACACTTCCCACGCGGCTTCCACCTGTCGCTGGCTGGGTTCCAGGAGAGGCCCGGCTGCCCCCTCACTCGCATCGGGCCCTGAGGCCTGGTCCCTGGGAGAGCCACCCAGGCCACAGAGAGAGGAAGAGAGGGGAATCCTGATGGCTGGTGCCCGGGGAACTTCTGTGAAAGCCACTGGCAGACTGCTTCTGGGGACATCACCTTCCTCTGGGGGTTTGCCGGTTGCTGTAACTTCAGAAACCTGGAGCCAGTGGGGGTGGGGTGGAGAGAAAGGGAAGGTAGGAAGTAGAGGAGGGGATGGGACAAGCAGAGTCAATGAGAACTGGTGACAGCCCACATTCAGCCCCACAGGTGTTCCCACATGAAAACTCCTTAAAGAGCACTCTGTAATTCTCTTAACCCCCAAGACTATGTCTACATTAAAATAACAAAATTAGATGGAATAAAAGGGGGCTTCTTGCTGATCATAAAAGCTGAGGAATTCAGTGGGCACCAACATTTGGTGAGTGACTATCAGTAAACACTGTTGGTTGACCGCCAAAACATATCCAGAATATCCATATGAATTCATGTATTTTCTCTTTGAAAACAATCTATTTCTTAGCTCTATCCTTTGACAAGGCCGAGAAACCATGACCAATCTAACAGCAACAAGCACTCTCAGCCCCCAGATCTTGGTTTCTTAATACCATTCACCACTAAAAGGATCAGGGCTCCTAAAATAAATGACTGTTTCCAGGTTTGGGGCAGGGAAAATAAAAGATGAGCCTGGGACATATTGACATGGCAAAATGTGAGGAAGTGCTCAAAGAATGATGGGGGTGTGTCAAAAAAAACTCTGAAGCCAATCTAAACAAGCTCCCACTGGCCAGAGAGTTCAATTTAAGCATCAAAATAAATAAATGCAGTAGGTTGAAACTCATCAAATATGTTTAAAGTTCATGAATTAATAATGATACTCCAAAACCAAAATCCTTTCATTGGTCACCTTTGGAGATGTTCATTTCTTCTGAAAGCTGGTAAATAAAAGGGAAAATTTGAAGTATTCATCCAGCTTTTTCTACACAATCTGTATACTCTCAAGGTATATATGTTCAAGGTAGTCAGATAGATTTTTTTCTTTTTTTTAACTTTTTTTTATTGAGTTATAGTCATTTTACAATGTTGTGTCGAATTCCAGTGTAGAGCACAATTTTTCAGTTATACATGAACATACATATCAAGATAGTCAAATAGTTGATGTGAGAAAGTTTTTCTTTAGAGAATTCCAGCTAATAAAGTAGAAATGGAATTAAATAGGATCAATTCTATTTAAATTAATAACAGATTATATTTAATAAATTAACTTAATAAAATTATTTAATAAATTAAATTTAATACTAGATCTAATTAATTAAATAGAATTAATTAATTAAAATAGAGTAAGAAATGTGTTTCCATGTGGATGCAATTAGCCAAATCCAGACTGTGGGAAACTCTACAGGACAAACAAGATTTCTTCAATAAATTGCAGGAAAAGTGAGAGAGATTTAAAAATCTAAGAAGATTCATTAACCAAATGCAATTTTTGACCTTGTTTGGACCCTAAAACATTTATGAGGCAAGGAAACTTTAACACTGACCAAATATTTGATGATACTAAGGAATTACTGTTAATTTTCTGAAGGGTGATGATGGCTCTGTGTGTGTGTGTGTGTGTGTGTGTGTGCGTGTATAAAAGTGCTTAATTTTCTGAAATACAAACTGAAGTTGTGCTATGTGGGTTCATAATACTGGTTTCTTTACTTTTATATGTTTGAAAATCTTTGGAATAAAAAGTTAAAACACACACAAATTCTAAAATACATCTCTAGAATCTATCTCCCTGCCAGCACTGGCATTGCTTGCCGGGACCACTGCAGTAGCCTCCTCCTCAAGGTCTCCCAGCTTCTGCCCTCAACCCTGCGGTCTATTTGCCTCCTGGCAGCCAGAGGGAACTGGTTAAATCCTAAGTCTGATCACAGCCCGCCTCTGCTCCTGACTCTCCAGCAGCTCCCCTGTCACTCAGAGTAAAAGCCAGAGTCCTCTCCATGGCCCACAGGGCCCTACACAGTCTGTCCCCCACCACCTCTCCAACCTCACCTCCTGCCGCTCCCCCTCACTTACTGCTCGCTGTTCCTCACACACATTAGCCACGGCCCCACCTCAGGGACTTTGCACTTGGCTGGGATGTTCTTCCCCTGGTTATCCACGTGCCTCACTCTCTCACCTTCTTCAGATCTTTGCTCAAATCTCACTGACCACTAAGGCCTTCCCTGGCCACCCAATCTGAACTTGCAAACATCCCCCTTCACCACCTCCCCACACTTTCTCTTTCCCTATCCCTTTATTTTTTTTCTTAGCATGCACCATCATCTAAAATATCATATATTTTAACTACTACTTTGTTTTATGACATCTCACTCCACTAAAATGTTGCTTACTTAGCCTCATGAAGACAGTGTTTTTGGTCATTACTGTATTACCAGCGTCCGTAACAGTGCTTGGCCCAGAACAAGCACCCAATAAACATATGCTAAATTAACAAATGACAGTCTAATAAGCCCGGTATCTGCATTCTACCCCTCCGTTACCAGGTTCTGATTTGGGGGACCTCTGTCTAAACTAAGGTAGACCCAGAGCAAGTCAGCCCCCACCATCTGCCTTCCCATCAGGTCGTCCATCCAGAGGCTGCCAGGGTCTGCTTACCTGAAGTGTCATCTGGGGCCATGGACGGAGAGGGGTGGGGGCCACCAGGGGACCCACTGACTCCCGGACCTTGGGACGCTCTGCTGGAAAGAAGAGGACAGCACTGGGGCGAGGCAGGCATATAAGCAGGCCTGGTTTGGTTAAGAAAATCTGCTCTTGGAGCCAATCGGCAGAACTGCCTCTGAAGCTTGATGTGACAGTCTAAGGCAGAGGGTGCCTCTTAATTGGTAGAGAAAGAAAAGGAAGGGGTAGAAATGGTGAATACAAGATAAAACTCCCGCTCCCGGCCAGATGCTTACCCACAGCAGGGCTACTTTCTTCTGCCCTCTTCATCTTCAGTTCTTCCTCGTTAGGCCTGTGGGGCGGAGGAGAAAAGGCGTGGATCTGATGCCCTGAAAGGCTGGTTCTGACCCCCCGCCAGTCCCTTCTGAGCCTCTGTGCTGGCCCACCCTCACCAGCCAGCTGCTGTTTTCTCTTCTGCTGCCTCTTGCTATCCTCTAATCATATTAAGTCCTACACACTCGCAGAAAACGTACAAAATATAGGAAAGCACCAGGAAGCAGGGAAAAAGTCACGTCTCAGCCCGAGGCAACCACCATTACCATCTCGGAAAATTTCATTCCACACATTCTACGAAATCTGCGGGCATAATTTCACAGTAAGAAGCATCCGCTTAACAGTAAGAAGCATCATTATATACTTTTGTAAACACCTGAAATGGCTGCTACAGAGCCATTCCCTTCCTACTGGGCAGCTAGGTTGTCTCCTTCATTTTGTTCCCACAAAGCTGACTTCAGCAGACATCATCCGGCACAGCTTAAGGAACAGTTTGGATCATTTCCCTAGGGTGTATTTCTGGCTGTGGAGGAAACCATCTTTTCCAAGAAAGGGCGAGTGAGGACCGTGGGGCACAGGAAGCAGCAAAGGGAAGGAAGCAACTGGAGAATGGGAAGGAGGTCAGCAGAAAAGGCAGTAACCCAGAGTCACAGAGGCCTAGGTCCCTCCGCCAACCCTCCACCCACCACCATATCAGCCTGGCAGGTCACTGAACCTCCCTGAGCCTCACCCTCCTCACCTGAAAATGGAGCACAGGGGGAGCCAGGATGTGTACGCCCTGCACAGGACAGTCAAGAGAAATGACACAACAAGCCAGACAAACCCAGGGCCTGACACGGAGCACGGGCTGAATCAACCGTAGGTATTTGCTGGTCTCTCTCCTCCTTCACCAGGCAAGCCAGACCCCAAGGTCGGAGTGGCAGAAACCAAGCATATTTCAGCCAGTCCTGGCCAGGGGTGGGGTCATGAGGATCAAGGAGAAATCGCTGTTCTCCTTCTCACAAATGAGTATCAGCTGTTTACAGATTAAGGCAAATGAGGGAATCATTAACTAAAACACGTGCGGAGACCTGAGAAGGGCTGAGGCCACAGCTCAGACTTTTTTCTTCCCTAGAAGGAACAAGATGCTGTTGACATTTCTGGAAGCGGCTGCAACTGTTTGAAAACACATAATTGACCACCTTCATAATTACCTACAGAAACAGTATCACTAGCTGACCTGAATATAGTGCTTCCTATGCTACTTCACGGTACAGCTTCACATTTATTCATCTAACCCTCACGGCAACCCTCTGAGATAGGTACTCTTCTGAAGCAGGCAGTATTATTATCCTCTTACAGATGGCGAAACAGAAGCCGAGTAAATGGCTCAAGGTCAAACGGCTTTGCAGTGAAGATGGAAACCTAGGCTTTCGGCTCCTAAGTCTGCTCGAAACCAGCAAACTGCTGCTTCTTGGATGAGGGAGGCTGGGATCTTATCACAGCCCATCTTTAGTCCTCTCCAGAGTAGATAGAGGGAGACAGCAATGATGGACAAGCTCCCTGCCTCCAGCTTCATTCAAGCTTTGCTTTGGGCCTGCCTTTTGCCCACCTATTTATTTCCAGTTTCCCTGCCTTCATGGGACATGTGGCTAGAAGACCACCAGACACAGAAGTGGCTGCAAGAAGTGCTTTTACTAGCACCCTCTCAGAGGAGGCTTGAACCAGGTACCTGGATCTAGACGTTTGGAAGCTCCAGAAGGGACCATCTGTCTTTCACCACAGACTAGGGCTCACGCATCCCACCAAAGGTACTTGAATCAGAATACTATACGGCACAGCGTGGGTGATTCCAGGAGCCCAGCCATCAACTCCTGCTTCTCACGGCTGAGAAAAGAGGATTTGGGGCCAATTGGTTTAGTCCTGCACCAGTCCCCTGAGTGGGTCAAAAATCCAGGTTTTACAAAAATTTGGATTTGTGGCCCAATACAATTTCTACTGATTTCTTTTGCTGGTGAGGTCCTTCATTAAAGAAAATTTCTTCTTCCTAGGATCTTCTAAAGCAAGCATTCTCCAGAAGACCCACAAACAGCAAGGCAACCCTCCTCCTGGGAAGATACGAAAACAAATCCTTCAGTCCCCAGAACATCTATTCCAAAGCCGGGGAGGGTGAGAAGCAGGAGAGGGCATCCAAAAATCAGATCAAGCTGTTCAGCCAATCCCAAGATCCACAAAGTCAGCAGAAGTACACGGGTCACTCTCCCCACCTCCAAAGTCCGAGAGATGAAAGCAGGAGACAAGCATCTATTGTTCACCTCCTGCAACGTGGGCCCTTTTCATTGATACACCAAGTCATTTGAAAACCTTTGCATTTATCCTTCAAAGCAACACCCTTTTTACCAATGCAGAAACCGAGGCTCAAGGAATCGTGTCTCTGCCCCCTCTAACTGCTAACTACATACCATGCTGATAACATCCAAAGAGGGTTCCATTTTGAAGACAGTCTTTGAAACTGTGTACAAAAAAAAAAACCTAAATATCCTTGAACTGTCTTTCACAGTAAATATTCAGGGGCAGCTCTGACCTTAATCAAAAGGAGGATGGTGAAAGAAATGGAGTACAAATGTTTACTGACTCACGAATCAGTAACAGAGAAGAGGGGTTCTTAGAAATATGGCGAGGAAGGAGATTAAGAACAAAACTGTACCTCTAATGTGCTTGCTAATTTTCGAGAAGGAAACCTGCCCTTTTGGCATCAACCCCACAAACGCCACGTGGCCTCGCCTCCAGGGCAGTGGGCAGTAGTGGGCTGGAGCACACAGACCAGGGAAACTCTTGAGCATGCATCCTTTGGGTGCTCTTGAGAACAAGTCAAGACAGGTGGCGGAAAAGGGGCCCTGTCAGGCCTGCATGCCTGTCTCCTGGGCGTGAAAATTCTTCCTACCATCAGGAAACTCTGTGAACTCTGACCTCAGACAGCACCTAGGGACACCAGGGGGTGAGATTTCAGAAAGTGCTGTGGGCCCCAGCCTAGGCCAGCCGAGACAGTACCCAAAAGTGAATCGCCACAGAGAGTGAGCAAGCGAGGGCAGACGAGCCCCACGGAGAAAAGCAAAGCCGACTTTCAGAGCAGTCACATCACTGCCACCGCCACCGCCGCCACCCGCCCGCCCGAGTCCTCTGAGAGCACCCCCAACACTCCGGTTTTCAAAGAACCTGGCTAGCCCAAAGTGGGTCACACACTGAAACCCAAAGGGAAACTCAGCAGACCCCAGCTCCCGGGCAGTCAGCCTGAAGATACTGCTGACTCCAAGGGGACTGGTGGCGTCAGAAACCTGCCTGAGATACTTGGAACCCCAGTTACCCTGAGCCATCTGCTTTCTGAAGAAAACAGGGTTTGAAGGAGGCTGTGAAAGCCACCAAGTTATGTGGGGCACTGCTCTGCCTTCCCTAGTGACAGTCTGTGTTGGTGTCAGCTCTGGGACTTACAGTCCGTAGGGGAGGGAGCTGAGTGGTTTATGGTGCTATGAGCTTGTTTCAGCAATGACTTCATTCATTTGGCCGTGACCCACAGTAAGAAATACATTTTACATCATAACCCAGCACATGCCCAGACATGTGTAAATACATACACGTATATATATATAACTGAAAACCTCAAAACCGGTTGTTCTTTGAATGAAACAACACTTACCTTTACTGCATGTTGTGATGTGCTCTGAATATTTCCTATGCTATTTTTTAAATGTTTGTTGGAATCCAGTAAATTGATTTCACGTCTCAATAAAGGCCATTCTGAATAACCCTGGCTCTGCCATCTGCCAGCTGTGTGACCTGGAGCACGTTACTTAACCTCTCTATGCCTCGGTTTCCTCATCTGTGAAAATGGTGTCATAGTAATACCTCCCTCAGGGAGCTGTTGGGCAGATTGAGGAAATATTTTTAAATCGCCTGTAAAGTGCTTAACGAACAGCGATCCCCTCCAAGTTCCCACTGAAAGAAACTGAGGCCCTGAAAAGGAAAGCAACTTGCCCCGCACTGCGCAGCTGGGAAGACACATCACCCAGCCTGGCACGGCAGCTGAGAACTGGGGTACCAGAGCAGGACCGCCCGGCTCAGATCCCGGCTCAGCCACTTTCATAACACGTGGCCTCAGGCCTACGTCCTTAGTCATGATGCCCTACCAGTTTTCTGTGGACTAAAAAAGGACCACTTTCACACTAAAACCCTCACTCTCCAGACAACTAAGATGAGCCCTGGCCCGTCCAGTGTCGACTTCGATTGTTCTGATTTCCCCTAAGGCTGCCAACTTGGAGAGCAAGTTGGGTCCCCATCCATTCACCTACAAGTACGGCTAAAAATCGCTGAGGCCTTACTGTGCATCAGCCCAGTGAGGGACCCTGGAGACGCCGGGGTGAGCGAACATGACTAGGAAGCTTACAATTTTGTGTGGAAGAAGACATCAAAAAAAGATACTCACACTCATTCTTTCAGCAAACATTTATTGAGCACCTGTTAAGTGCCAGGCACCATGGCAGGCCCTGTGGGAATACAGCAATGAACAAAAGGAGACCATGTCCCTACCCCTCACGGAGCTTACAGTCTAGAAGGGCAGAGGTCATCCAGTAATCCCCTAGTGAAGGTCTAACTGCAAACTGAGGTCAGGGCCTTCAGAAGAGGAAAGAATGCACTAGAACAAGGGGCCGTGGCCCAAACTACAGGGTCAGGGAGGGTTTAGGATGCTTAGAAGGAAAATGAGCAAGGGAAGGGTCGGAGAGTGAGAAGCTGCTCAGGACTCCGGGGGCGGAGGAGGTGATGGGATTCAATCTTGAACAAGGGGAGTCTGAGGCATCTGTGGGACATCAGCCAAGCGGAGACACTGAGTTTGTATATATGAGGCTGAAAGAAACAGCAACAAGAAAAAGAAGGGCCAGACAGTTCAGGGAAAAGCAGCAGAGGGTGGTTCCAAGGCAAGGGAAGAGAGTGTAGTAAGCAGGAGTGCCCAACCACTTCAAGAAGAACACCAAAATAAAAAACAAGCTATGGAATCTGGTAAGTGCAGGGGACGGAAGCCAGTGGAGAAGACAAGTGTAGGCAACTCTTAAGAGGGGGGTTGGCAATGAAAGGTAGGAGGGTGATTGGGTGCTGGCCAGGAGCAGTAGGGACAGAGGTGGAGTCAAAGGACAGATTTTTAAGACAGCAGAGACGCTGGCAGGTGTAAAGGCCAATAGAGAGGCTCAGGCAAGGACAGTGAAAAGCTGTCAGGAGAGAATGGGGTAACTGCTTGTCAGGTTCTGGAGCGAGTGACAGAACAACGGATCCCAGGGAACCCAGGGCAAGAGTCGAGACTCCAGCCTGAGGGAGAAAAAGGGCCCCCTCCTCCCCTGTAACACAAGGGAGGGGCATTGGTTTGTAGGTTTGGGGGCTACAAGTCGTAGGGAGTCCATTCTTATGGTTTCTACTTTTTTTTTTAAGCAGAAAGTCTGAAGGTAAAGAACATTCAAAAGAGTCACCTCAGGGAGGAGACAAGAGTGGATGGGAATAATACAGTAGGACAGCCAGGCAGGGGGGGAAGTGACCCTGGATTTGTGGCAATGCTCATCTGCTCTGCTATAGGACTTTCTCTAACAGGGCTTGCCTGCTTGGCTGATCAGTGCTCTAAACTTTTTTTTTCCAAATGGGGCCTGAGGAGGCTGGGATGGGCAGGCTTCCAGGAGGAAGCACTCTTGTATCCTTCATCTGAAGGATGAAAATGAGGAGACTGCAAGAGGCACAGGGCCAACATTCCTGGTGAGGAAAATAGCATGGGCAAAGGCCCTGGGGCAGGAAGGGGGGCAAAGCACCTTGGAAAGACCACGGTGACAGAAGCTCAGAAGGCAGAGGATGGCATGAGGTAAGACTAGCAGCCATGGGGGCCAGACTGGGGGAGAGGGCAGGGGGTGCCTGAGGTTTTCTTGGTCTTTAATTTTAAGAGGAATAGGACACCTCCCAAGGGTGTTAAGCCAAAGCAGACCTGGAGGGCTCCTCCCTACACCAGCCCTAGGACTTTGAAATCTGGGAGCCTCAGTTTGCTCATCCAGAAAAGAGGGATCAAAACAGTCTATCTCACAGGGAATGGTGAAAGGATTAGATGAGACTGGACATGCAAATACTCAGCAGGGTCTCTGCCAGGGCTCTTACAACAAGCCCTCCAGACCTGCCCCTCCCACCTGTTCCACCAGAGGCCCTTTGACATCTTAGCGCCCGTCTGCAGCTTTGGCCCTGTTTGAACCTAGCACTGTGCCCAGCACGTAGCAGGCCCTCAATAAATGCTTGTTGATGGATCATCTCTATGCCTAAGGGTTATCAAAGGCCTGGTCCAGCAAAGCCAGGAATGCAGCCATTTCGGTTTCTGAGCTGTCTCCCGATGGACTAGCAGACTCCTTCCATGCCCTCACCTGACATGGCTGCACTCGGTACACTGTGGGCCAGCAGCCGATACTCCCTGAACAGGAAGCCCTCTGCATCAGGGCTCCCACAGGCTGAGGCTATCCCCTGAGATCCTCCACCATCTCCCAAGAGGGCTGGGTCACAGGGAGCAGCTGTTCTTCAACAGCGCTCCATGTCACCGGCAGCACACAAGTTTTGAAACAATAATAAGTTGAAATGTACTCGTTAAGAAAGCCACCGACCTACAAAGAAAATCTTATCGCTGATCTTGCAATGAGCACCAACCGCCCCTTTGCAAGAGCTGAGATCAAGATAAAGAAGCTATCAAAAAGCCATCTGCCCACTTAAAATAATATCACAAGTCATGTTAGGAACCACAGACCTGGGGCCAGATACCAAAACAATTGTCTGAACGGGCTGCTTCAATTTCTCCTTAAAACCACCCATGTATTTTAAAAGAAAAACACCCTCTCCACCCACCTTGGCCCTGCAAGCTTTTGATTTCTCTGTTCCCTTCCTTTCACACTCTAAAATGACCAAACTCTGTTACCCAAACTGTCACGTCTCACAGACAGGGCTCCCACGACAGCCGGCTGGGATGATGACTTGGGAAAAGTGACAGAAATGAAGGCAATGCTGGAGCACTTGGAACAGCTCGATATCTTGATCTGGGTGACAGTTTCACAAGGGCATACATAATGTAAAAATCTATTGAGCTTTACACTTATGATCAATAAGGAAAAAAAGATAAAAGTAAAGCAAGACATGCTGGGAACATGTGAACACCAGGAATGAAATGCAGAATTTACCCTGCATCCTGTTTGGTCTTCAAAAGGAACAGCAGTTTTTTGAAACCTCGTCCCTGATCCTGTCACTCACAAACTGGCTCACTTCTCTGAGCTACCTCAGTTTCCCCCTCTGTTAAATGGACAAAATCATAGCACCTACACCACACAGCACGCACAGCAGGACTCAGGAAAGAACAAACTTGCAGCTCTCAACACAGAGATCAGCAAACGTGGGCCATTGTTCATCTTTCAAAGCTACCACCGTGCTTTAGTTACCTCACCCATGCTTGCCGCGTCCAATCCAAGCACACGAAGTGACTGCATTCCCCTTGAGCAGATGAGAAAACTGAGGCTTCCAGATGAAGAGCCTGAGGCAAGGCTACACAGCTGGTAACAGGCACATCAGACTTTGGGAAGGGGATCCAAGGAACCACCTGTGATTCCCTAAATATTGACACTTAACACCGAATAGTGCTACTAAGAGCCAGGCTAGGTTCTGAGCGCTTTCACATGTCTCCTGTGAAGCAGGTGCAACAATTATCTTTGTTTTACAGATGAGGGTACTGAGGCACAGTGCAGTTAAACGAGTCGGCCAAGGTCACAAGACCAAGAAATGACAAGACTGGAATTTGAACCCAGGCACTCTGATGTCAGAGTTCACACTCTCACCACTGTAAGGAAAGCCACGCTGCCTGCCCTGCTCAGACTAAGTCTTAGGTTACTGCGAGGCTCACCAGTTCGTAAGTGGGTACCTGTCTGCCTGTTCACTTACCCAGGCACATCTGCCCACAAGCCTCAAGCTAGACCTTTCTGAACCACTCACAGCCTAAGGCTTTGCTAAGATCACAAATACCTTGCTGCGGCCAGAGGCTTGTAATCAAGCACAAACAAGGTCCAAAAAGCATTCTCCCATTCCCGTTTCCAGTCCTCCCAGGAGCAGGGAAATGGATACATTTCTCACACGTGCATGGAGAATCTACTTATGCCAGGCTAGACTTATGTAATTCCCCCCAAAATCAGGCCTAGCTGCTACCTTGAAGAACTCGTGGCTTGACAGAGAAAACCTAGGAGAATTTTGTATCAGGGCCTCCTGGGGTTAACTGGTTCCTTTTCCCAGGCCCTGAATGCTCACAGGTGGTATAGCAAAAACAAAGGTCAAGAGCTTCCAGTCCAGGCCCACCTGGTTCTGCCTCTGCCAGAGCTACTGCTTCCCTGTGAGAGCAGAGGCTCAGCCACTCAACTCCACAGGAGGTATCAGACTAGAATCAGAGCAAAACAGTCAAGAGAGTGCACAGGCCTCAAGGTCAGACATGGCTGAATGGAAAAAGCCCAGGTGCCATCACTTCCTCAACCAGTTTCTCCCTCTGGAACCCTGGTTTCCTGCTGTCAAATGGGGATCAGATTCCCTGCCACTCACTGGTCCACACTACCATGTCACTGCAGTTCTCTCCACTTCCAGCACACTACCCTTCATTCACACCAGGCTCCTTCCCTGGACCACCTCAGGACCTTTGCGCTTACTATTCTCTCTCCCTAGAACACGCTTGCTCCTGAATGTGTACATAACTGCTCCTCTTTATCATTCAGGACCCAGTTTAAGCGACCCTCCCCAAATCCCCTGCCTAAAGCATCTACTGCCTCCCAAGCTATCCCCTTACTCTTATTTTACTTTCCTCTCTGCAGCTAACCTTTTACCTATATATCTTATCTGCTTGCTGGTTGTTTTTTCAAACTGTCTCTCCTAAGAGCCTGTTATGAACCTTGAGGGCTGGGAAGATGTCTGTCTTGCACAGGGCTTTACAATGGAACTCAATAAATGAATGAATGAAACCCCAATAATTAAAACAGAGACTAGCACATGTTTAATCTCCATTGGCTCTTTGACTAACTGACTGAATACGCCCTCCTCCCTGTCCTGGAGAGCAGGCCTGAGGGGGTTCCTGGGTCAGAATGCTTGTCCTCCATCCTAGACACAGCCCTGCGTTGGCGGAGGTGGCGCTGGCAGACATTACCTGCGCCTCACCGGCTTCATGCAGCTCTTCAGCTGCCTGGCCTCAGCCTCCACAGGACCCTGGCACTCGGGCTGTGGCTCCAGCTGCTGCTGCTGCTGGGGCAGCCCTTCGACATCAGTGGGTGTGGGAGCGGGTGCGATCCGGAGCAGGACTGTGTAGTTGCGGCCGTGGTTGTTGGCCCAGAAAGTGCCCTCGGGGGTCTCATAGCGCACCACGAAGTCCAGGCGCGCCCCATCGCCCGCGCCCTCAGCAAAGGGCAGCTGGAAGGCAAAGCGGTCGGTGCGGCCGCCGTCATCGGGCGAGGAGGCGGACGCCTGGCTGGGGCCCAGGTCAAGGCCCAGATCCAGGATGGGATCTCCTGCTCCTGGTACTCCCGCTCCTGCCCCCGGCGGGCTGCGCGGGACGTAGCGCGCTGGGTGGTCGCAGAAGGAAGCCCAGCCGTCGTGTGAGGCCCGCACGTGCACCGCCTTCTCGAAGGAACGGTTCAGCACGCGGACCAACCCGCGCACCACCGGCGGGCGTCCCCCAGGCACCCACACCCCGGCACCCCCAGGGACCGCTCCGGGAGGCGGCAGCAGCGCCTCCAGCTCCACCATGACGCGCCCCAAGCGCTCCAAACGGCCCAGCGCGGGCGGCAGCGAAAATGTGGGCACCAGGTAAAACCCCCCGCCAGCGGGGACGGGGCACAGCGGCGAGGGCTCAGGGCAAGTCTCCTCTTCCTCCTCTCCTTCATCCCCATCCTCGCCATCGTCGTCCTCGTCCAGCCCCGCCGCCGTCGCCATCTTGCCCGGCCGCCGCC